GGGGGGGGGGGGGGGGGGGGGGGGGGGGAATGACAACGTGATAGGGCAGCGTGATAGGCAATGTGATACTTGAAGAGATATTGCGAAACGGGTATGCGGGAGAAATAGTAGTTGAGTCCGATGAAGTAAATTCTGCCGGGTGCGGTAGGTACTATCAGGCACTCGAAGAGCATGTCGTAGTTGGCGGGTGGTAGTCCGACAGTGAGTGGCTGGCACTGGCATGGGGCGCCAACGGTTTCGAGTTTACAGCCGTCGAGCAGTAGGTCAGTGCTTAGCGGGTTTCGCACGCGGACACACACGCTATGCAATTCATTCACAACCCATGCGACGTCATTTGATCCGGCAACACGGGTCCAGGGCTGGAAGAGAAAGGCTTCATCGCCCGTCTCACGAGCGGCACCGGCTGCTCGGATTATTTTCGAACGATGTCGCATTGTCGTCACACGTCGGGCCACACGCGGCTCCAGTGAAAGCAAATTTGGCACGTAGTGACCCTGACTGAGTCCGCCGAAATGCGCATATTTGAGCACCACATTTTTCGGCAGTCGTCGCACGGACAGCCCAACTCCCCCGGGAGAGCAACGCAACAGGAACCGAGCAGCCGCACCTTCGCCCTTGCTCACAAACGTCACCGCCGGCGGGACCAACCACGGGCGCGATCGAAGCCCCACCGCCACCAAGTCAGATCTACCTACCAATTCGGCGACTTGGTCGTGCTCCGTCCCTTGCCTGGCCTCGGCCTCGATAACTTCCTCGGTCAATTGCCTTGGTGCTTCGGTACCTCCTTGCTGGGCGGCAACTCCGAGTACCACGGCGTTGCGGTCCTGGACGCCTAGCGCGGCCTCGCGTGCGGCAAGTGTGCGTTGGCTGACGGCTTGTGTGCGTGCATCGAAGGCGGTTGCGACGGCAGCGAACCCGACCAGGGCCAGCCAGAGAGCCGCGGTGGGTTCGCCGACGAATTCGGCGATGCGTCTCAGTTTGTCTGCGAGGATAAGCTGCACACTGGGCCAGCCGTAGACGTTGCGCGTATCTCGGAGTCCGCCACGTCGGGCCGGTGCGTGCCGTCCAAGAGAAACGCGGTACGCTTCTCGCAGCTGTAACACCAAGAGGTCAGCGGCCGCGCGTTCTGCAACCGCCGCACCCTGGCGACATTGCGCCACAAGCGGCGCAATGTCCAACCTATCTGCAACCCGTAACGCAAAGTCCATTATTGCGTGTGCGCACACTACTGCCGCCGCACCACCAACGCCGCCGGCGACGGCGTCGGTGAAGCGGAGGGCGGCCATGAAGCGCAATACACGGCCTTACGCGGCGCGCGGAGCGCGCCCAAAAACTTGCGCCCACCGAGCAACGCAAGTTGGGCACCGGCCACACCGGGACAGCGCAGCGCGATTTCCAGGCCGGCGGTGGCGCAGTCGAGTGCAGCCACGCGGTCGGCGATGGCTAGGACGTCGGCGCCCAACAAGGTGCAGAACGCGGCCGCCGCAGGGCCGACCTTTTGGTAGGTGGTTGCAGCCTCGCGGAGTTTGAGCAACGCAG